CAAAGTTTCCGTATAAAAAAGCCGTGCTTCGTTTCTATTGTTTTCTAATGGTAGTGATATAATCAGAAACATGCGTTTGATAGCACACCTTTGAGATAAAGGCTATTTTTTTTCTGGAAGCAACTAAACAAATTTAAATTTGGTTTAAACTAGGTTAAATTGATATAAAAAAATTTTAATTTTACTTAAATTTATGTAAATTCAATTTAAATTTAAAATAAATTTTAGTTTTTTTAAATTTATTTCCGGATTTCATAATTTTTTTAAATTTAAATTGATCAACCATAATTGTGACGTATTTCTTATAATTTTCTTGTTTGAATATTTATTTATACATAGAAGCTATCGTTTGCTAATATGGATTTAATTAATTGTTCTTATTCGTGTAGTTATGAAAGAAATGAACATTGAATTACAACTGAAAGTATACTAGCGACGGTATAGTATTACGACTATCGGGTGAGATGATCAGAAAAAGGCGTATTCTTACTGATAGATTCTAGGACAACTTATTAACGATGATTAGTTATCAAACAAACATATTCATCATCTTAAGAATCTATAAGATAATGAAGATATTGATAAAGAAGACGATGAAGAGGATGTTAATATTAATATAATAGAAGACAGTCGTATTGAATAACATTCATTAAGGATAAATATTAGAAACGGCATTTATGAAATTGGTGATTAGAGTGTTTGATAGACATTAACGATGTTACTTTTCTATAAAAATCCATTATCATCTACTTAAGCATTTATAAAGTTTAAAAACTCATGTCATATTATTTACAAACATATTTCCATTCACAATTTTGCTTAAGTTGAGTTTCATGATCCATTAGTAGTATTACACTACTATATAGTGTATAATGTCCTCTAGCAAACATCTAAGTATAGTGGCAAAATAGTAAAAATTCGTTGTAGGAGGAGGGATTGAACATACCGTATCTTAACCTAAATATGAAATCAAAGAACTATAATTGTACATTTTTACACAAAACAAATATAATACTATAGTACTAAACAGAATACATGTTCAAAATCACTTTACAAAAATGATTTTCGCACTGAAAAAGTCATATAGGAGCACTCACGAGGCACGAATATTACTTGGTGACTACTCAAGTTTAGTACTGATAAACTTTGATCTTAGCACGAGTAAAATTCATGAGCAATGAAAACCTACAATCGTGCAAATATTGACAATTTTATCGTGGTTTATTAGTCGAACTATGTGTGAGATTATATCGTATTTAATCATTTACACCAGCGATTTTTTCCGATTTTTAGAGAAAATCGTGATTATCCAAATAATATTTTCGATAATCTCATCTGATCATAGTAGTTGTATCTACGACTATGATTACGTCTCGGTGAGTAAACCACCGTCGTTTACCATTGTGGTAAAAAATTTTTCTCGTAAATAAGAAGAAAGATGATTTCTGCCTCTTGATCTACAGTAAACAAAAGGAAAAAAGTTTTTTTCAAATAGAACTATACTCACTGCTCATTTTGATGATCTAAATACAAGAAAGAAAAATTACCTTTATAAAAGAATATTGACTGTTCACTTTGACGATCAGATACGCTAAATACAAGAAAAAACATTATTTTTATAAAATGATGCTTAGTAATTATTGAGATGATCTAATGATCGAAAAAAAGTAAAAATATACTTATTTGTATATATTAATACTTACTGCAGAAGTTTTTTGGGACATTGTAAATTAATTGCAATTTATAGTAATATCTAAAACTCATTAATTAATTATGATTGATCGACGATTTTTTCAAATATCGCGATTAACCACTAAAAGTGACGCATTTTTAATGATACGGATACTCATGAATGCTTGCGGTATTTCTTAACGTGACTACTTTCAGAGTGTACTACCTAATACTTATCTTTATGAGAGTAATAAATGTAACTGCTAACAGTACTGATTATCAAGTAAACACGACTAAAAAAATCAACCTGTATAAGATAAACTTCCAAAAAAATACAATGATAACAGTTTTTTCCTTACATGAAATGAAATACGTTTTACATCTGATACTTAACAGAATGATGGTTGTTCATAAATTTCAAAAGGGTTACAAAATGATTTTGGCATTAATTTTCATGACATAATGCATTGCTAACATTTATTGAACCTATTTCGCAGATTGTTTCGATGAAACATGATTTTTTCTTGGAAAATAAAACAAAGAAAATCTAACGAGCAGGGATGGGCGAGTTCGAGTCAAAACTCGGACTCAAGTCGACTCGAGTCACATTTTGGCCAAGACTCGGACTTGGAAATTTTGTGACGCTGACTCGACTGTTTGACTCGAGTCGTTCATTAAAAAAAAACTTTTATTTGCGTCTATAAAATATTACAATTTGTACGATCAAATTTTCACTTATTAATAATTTTCGTTATAATTGAATATGTTGCTGTAAGAGTCTGATGTTATGACTCATGACCGAGATAAGCAGCGTGATGGTATGACAACAGAACGGAGAAAAAGACAACCTCCCTCACATGGAATCGAACCATGTATCTCCTGTTTACCGAGCAGACGTATTAACCACTGTACTAGAAAGAGTATCTTCTTTCTGTTTTACGGCCGTAGGGGAACACTACGTACGTAACAGTTGCATTAGAAGAATTTTAAAAACTAGCTCTCCTATCTATATATTCATATGATTGTGAACGATAAACTATGTATTACGAATGATATTTGTAATTTCACACCTTTAAGGTACAAGAAGACATTAATTTAAATAGTGATAAATAATTCTTGCTAGCATACAGATTGAAGTTTCAGCTTGTATTGGTAAAAGATAAGGTTTTCATTAGTTTGGTCTGAAAATTTGTATAAGAGAAAAGTCAATTGTGATGTTTTTATATTGTTGATAAATATAGACTGGGTATCCCATAAATAACGCGGCGATAAAAAATTTAAATATCTCTATTGCGGCCCGAGGAAACGAGCTGATTATTTTATCATTGATAGACACATGTTCAAAGTTTATATTCATAAAGACATGCCTAGGGAGACTCTTTGTTAAGTATCACTATTGACCTCAACAAAGAAATTTTACTTTTTCACATATAGAAAAAAAAATATATATATATAACAAAGGATGTTTCTAGACATGTTTTTATGAACATAAAACTTGAACATGTATCTATTATTGATAGAAAAATCAGCTCGTTTACTCGAGCCGTAGTGAAGAGATTTAATCTTTTTTTTCGGCAAAGTCACTTTTACGCTACATTTTGTATTATATTTTGCTTATCTGTGAAAAAGTAAAATTTTTTTGTAGAGGTCAATAGTGATACTTAACAAAGAGTCTCTCTAGGCTTATCTTTACGGATATAAACTTTGAACATGTCTCTATCAATGATCAAAAAATCAGCTCGTTTGCTCGAGCCGCAATAGAGATATTTAAATTTCTTATCACCATGTTATTTATGGGACACCCGATAGTAGATATATCATATTATTTCTATGGAACTGTTCTTATTTTTCTGCGAAGGAAAATTACCTACGTAAACAAGTTGAGAACAGTCAGATTAAAATCAACTAAATCGATGAAAAATCAACCAAATTTCGCACAGTTTCAATTGATTATTAGGAAAAAATAACCAAAAAACTCACAATTTCGTTGACTATTTGGATTGTTTTTAATTATAAGCGATTAAAATCTAATGAATAAGAGAGATTATCATTGATTTTTTCTATAATCATTGAAGAAACATTCTGCAGATTTCATCAGATTCTATCTGTTACAATCCATTTTTTCCATTAAATCATAATTGATTCTTAACGAAATTAATTGCAAGTCTATGAAATTATGATTATTTTGCTTTAAAACCAGTTAGAAATTGATGAGAAATCAATAAAAAGTGCATGATATCAATCGATTTTGTTCTTTTTTTATTGTAATCTTTTGACTGGGACAGAAACCGGGTAATTTATCATAAAAAATGTGCTATTAGTATTTTTACCAAAATAAACAAAACGAAATAATTGAAAAAATAATTTCACTCGACTCAACTCGACTCGAAAATATCGATGACTCGACTTGACTCAACTCGAAAAATGGCTTGACTCGTCCATCCCTGTTAACGAGAGAACTTTGTCAAGTGATATATTACTTTTAAGATAATGTCTTATATTATTAGATGTATTCTGTTGAAACTAGAGAGTGCCTAAAACGATTGATTGCCATGAGTATTATTTCTTGAATTATGACCATTTTAGTCAGTTTTCCAAAGCAAGGCCGTAATTCTTCTTAAATCATTGTCACAATTGATTTTCAAATATTAACTTAATCTTTAGATAAATTAAGTTCTCAATAGGACTAATTAGTTTCTTGTGAAAGTATCAGATTTTGTAGTATCTCTATTCTGAGATATGTATAAATTTACGATCAAAGTTTGCCTTTCTGCATAACAGAATTTTCAATAATAGTAGCTAATGATAACAGATATCAGAAAATTTGATACTTTCACAAAAAACTGATTCCATTGCAAACTTAATTGGTGCGGTTCAAATTCAAAAGTTGAAAGCCAATTTCCAAAGTTACCTGAAAAGGTTCACAGAATTTTGTTGAACATCTCACTAAAATGATCATAATTCGAAAAAAAAATCAATAGAAATCCTGTTAGATTTCTTCTAGTTTCAATAGGATCTATCTCATGACCATAAGACTGATTGCAAAAGAGATTAATTAACCAGCGAGATGCTTTCCTAGTTTATACATTCATTTTAGATGTGTACATGAAAAAATCAACACCTTTTTTGTCTCATGATCATACTTGAACAATGAAATAGTCATTGTACAAAAAAGTCGAAATAGATTGTAAAATACATAAGAATATCGATATTGAAAATTAATCTTTTAGAATTCAAACGCCATTGAATGATTACGTATTTATCAGAAAATCGGAAAAATATATTTAAAAACAAAAGTTGTTTTTAAAAGGAGAAAGAAATAGATAATGTTATGAAGATGAATAATAAAAATGTGGTTCTACATAGGTCGTTTCGAACTTGTCAAATTCTGGTATACCATGTACTAATGATCGAAAACCCTTAAAAAAACAAAGTATATTATAGATATCAGATTCTATTTAGAATAATACCTTGTCAGCAACCCATTGTGTTTTATTTGGTTCTCGTAACGCTAGCCGTTCAAGTTTAGTTGGTTCTACGTATGGGTCTTCTCCAATTAGCATTCGTGGATAAGGTTTATCGCGACAAAGACCTGATTTAAATCTAATGAAAAACAAACGAAAGAAAAGAAATCGATTAATATTTAAATAATTTTCAGAAACTATACGTGTCGTCATGAATTCGATCAACCCATTCTTGAAGTTTCAATTCTTCACGCATTTTTTCTGTTGCAAAAAAATCTGTTTCACATCTTAATGATGGTTTTAGTGGACGATAACGTTGATAACGAACGTCTTCCGGTGCACGAAAAGGACCCTAATTAAAATTTTAATATGCTGAACATCATACAAAATAAGAAAAGAAACTTGCTTGTGGCTTCGATTTGAGTGGAGGTAAAAACTTTGTTAATGCTGCAATCTCTTGATCCTTCCTACTCTTAATCGGTTTCGTAGTTGTTGGTAGTTCAAACTTTGTAGTTCTCAATATAATTTCCATTTCTTTCGGAGCTCTATGTTACATGATTTCTTTCATAATCATAGTGGATTAAAGAAAAACGTATTTTACTCTAAATATTTTGAGTTATATATGCCAGGCACAACTTTAGTACTAACTAAATAATGTGTTTTTTTAGCTTCTTCTTCTAGCTTTGCAATATTTGCTTGTCGCTGTTGTTCAAGTTGCTTTTGGTCTAAATATTCTCTATATTCACGTAGTTGTGTTCTAATTTATAAAAAAAAACCATCTTTTTTAAAACATTTAGAGAAAAGAAAAAAAATCTACCTAATTTGTTCATTCTTTTGTTCAAGTCCAGTAAGATATCGTTTTCGACTGTAAAAATCAAGCACATATTTACGTACATAAAATCCACGCCAAATTTTTTGAATCTAAATAAATAAATAAAAAACGGTTTGCTATTATGAAACACAAAAAAAAAATATTCTTACTTTTACTGCATTATCATCATAATATTTTAATCGAAGTTGAAGAACATGTTCCTAAACAATTAGGTTGATAGAAATTTCAATAAATTTTTATTTTATTACTTTCAGTTTTTGTCGAAATAACACTTTAGCCTTATATATTCTCCACCATGTTTGAATAAGAGTCGCACATCGATTTAAATATCTGTAAAGATAAATGTAATGTTTAAAACACAAATAAAAATGTGCGATCACTAACTTAATATGAGATCGAACAAGATAACCGCGCCATGCTGATTGAATAATTACAGAAGCTCTATTCTCGTGTTCTCGAACATATTCAGCTTCTCTATGAAACTTATGAGATAAATATACAAATAAAATAAATAAATAAATAAATAGTACTTTGCTAAATGTTCAAGTTCAACAAGAATTTGATCAGCATTATGACGCAGTTCCAAAAAAGCTGCCATCGAATTGAATGCAGTACTTACTGTTTCCTAAATTATTTTAATTCAGAGTATTTTACAATCCAATTATCTATTATATTAATATTAAGAAAATTTTTTTCAAAAGTGTTTTTGAATATAAAAATTGAAAATAAACCATTTCACAATCGGTTGTCAAGATATTAATGTGAAAAATGAGCTTGCTACTCTTATTTTTTGTTAGATGTCGCTTCAATTTCATATGGTTTAGATATATTTATATTGTTTGTTTTTGTTGAATCATAACTAAATTACCTTGATATTTTAATATTTTTCTTCTTTTAAACTAGTTTCTATTTATTGAACAACTTATTGATTTGTCATAAAAATAATCCAATCATCTTTTACATAAAAAATATATTAATCGATTAATTTCTATTTTTATCTGCAACTCCAATTTTCTACTTTTTTTCGATGCTATTATTTTCCTCTTGTAGAATTATGGCTCGTGAACGAACTTCTTCTGTATCTACATACTTGTATTCGCTTGTTCTCGATACAAATGTACCTTTAACTTCATCTAGAATATATTATGATCTGCTTCATCCATAAGTTCTTTTTACATTATTATTATTATTATGAATTCCTTACGATGTGCAACTTTTTCGCAATTTTTATTCACTAAATTTTAACCTTGATATTTATCATTAATTAACGCGATCATCGAGAAAGCAAACATCGTTTTACACAAATGATTTGTACATATTTTGGCCCTGTTTATCATTATTTTTAAAGCAAAAGAAAGGAAAAAAGGTAAAAGCTACATTGTTGTTGAACCACACCTTTCAATTTTATTTACTGGTGATTACAATGAAATCATGTGTTGAAGTTAATTATGAAAGAAATGAAGGAAAATAAAATAATGAGAATCTCGCTTAGTTATTGTTTATCATACTAATTAGAATTTCATCGATACACTGTAAGAAAAAGCGTCGAGTAATAAACCGTACAAAAGGGTTTATTCGTCTCATAAACTTCGCATAAAGTTTTCATAAACTCTTGCACGGCTATAAAAATAGTAAAAACTTCAAATATTTGTGAAACAAATAATAAATCCTTTTCTAGGTTTTATTATTCAATACTTTTTTTTTCAACGTGCAGCAACTATATAAGTATGAAATTCATGGAATTTCGTACCATATCATCATCGATTAATCCATTATTTGATAAAGATGAAACGCATGATAATCTTTCCACAAAAAAGAATGTTGATAAAATGTCCAACAAATGGAAAGTTTATCTTTTTTTTGCGATTACCGATGGCGGTCAGGCTCTAGTGATACATAGAGAAAACTGAAAAGAAAGTAACAAATCGAAAAGGATCAAAAGACAAAAAAAAAAGAACTTACTTAGATTTAGATCAATGAAAGTCTGAGTAGAACGTTGAAATGCATGCATAGGCATTATAGATGCGAAATAAAAATGTATGTGGGAAATTTTTCAAAGTTCGAAATTCTAACTTGTTATAATCAATCATCGAACAGTTAGAAGTACACTATTGTACACATGCTTTCAAGAATGTATATCTATATATGTCCAATAAATCTTTTTGATCGATACAAATCTTTAATACAGTATTCCTTCTACAGTCAAGCTTTTCTAAATTCATTATTATTTGCATATTCTAATGAGAGTTCCCATCAATTTATTTTTGTAATGTAGTTAAATATCTAATTCCATACTTAAAATACTTATGTTCTAGAGACATTTCATCATATATACTTGCAGAAGAAGATATCTGACCATTGAAGGTAGTGCCTAACTCTTCTCAGAGTAATATAGTAGGAATAGAATAGGTTGTCATGTTGTTTGTGTGTAGCAATTGGAAGCAATACAAATAAAATTATAAATATGAAGAGTGCATAAGACTCAAGAAAAGAGTATGTAATAGAAAATTTTTTTCATAACAGATATTGTTTATATTTATGCAACTCATGATTGTACTGTACTTAAAAAACATTCTGAAGTTTTATATGATTTGACTAGTTAACTTCGTTTACAATTAGATATTTTTGTTTGATATTGATCATATTCTGAATGAAATATATCCTTGATGTACATTACATGAGTTCTATATGGTTGATGTAGAAAAATCAATTAATGAGTTTGTTTGATTAATTCAAAATGAAGTTCCATCAACATCAATATGTAATTCTGATCGAAAAAAATCCTTTTCCTATTGATTAGGAAGTGTTCACTGGTCGAATTAATCTCAAAAAAGTTCGGGAAATATTTTATTATGCTGATCGAAATCCATTAGAAATAATCATCTTATTTATTTAAATTAACTAAAATAATTTTTTCTCAAATGAGATATTATTTATGATATTGCAAAATGACATAAATTCATAGAAACACTAGTTTTTTTAATGGTTTGATCTTGTTATTTTAAATTTTGGTAGTTGTCAAACAGATTAATCATGTTTTGGGGTATATATGACAATATTAATAGCTACAAAATTTCACGTAATAAGATTAAATTATTGTCATTCAATACTATTACAAGTTGTTCAGGTGAATTTTTAGAAGAAAGGATTCAAAAACTAATGTCCGTTTCAAAATATAATGCGTCCCACTGTTTTTTGAATAACTCAACAACGCAATCAGCTAGAGATCTGCGGTTTTCACCAATCGAAAGAAGAGACAGGGGGACGTCTTTTTCTCCAATATTGTATCTGATAAAATCATTTTAGAATCAGTCATTTCTGCAAAACATTGCAAAAAACGCATGAAAACGACCCGGAATTCTGAAGAAATTTTCCTTTTGACATGTGATCTAGATAGAGGAACTCCGGATCTATACTTCAGGATATAATTCGAATGATTATCTTGTCGCATCCTAACGTTTAGCAAATAAAATCGTCTATTTACTCGCAAGAAAACTATGAATTTCTTTTAATTTTGAAGCAAATTTTGTTACTTTTTGTCAAAATTTCATCTGAATAATAGACCATTTTTTCGATGTTATGCAGAAATGACTGGTTTCAAAGGGATTCCGTCTGATACGATGTTGGAGAAAAAGACGCCCCCCTGTCTCTTTTTTAGATTGGTGAAAACCGCAGGTCTCTAGCTGATTCCGTTCTTGAGACATTCAAAAAACAGTGGGACGCATTATATTTTGAAACAGACATTAGTATTTTTTTTTATAAGATGTGTAATAAGTTATCCTCAAGAAATAAATACAAATTTTTATATTTTAAGTGTCTTATTTATGGTCGATGCAGCACTTGATGTCGTATTTATTAATATACTTAATATCAACGTTCTTGTAAGTAGTGAATATTTGTTGAAAACAAAAAAAGTAACTCTGAATACTCAAGAATATGTGTGTGGGTTTTTTTCTATATAATGAACCAAAAAAAAAAACAAAGTTTTCAAAATTGGTTAGAAAAATTGAGAATGATTTTGGATTGATGAAAGTGTTAATCAATGTCGATATAATAACCGATAAAACATTAAAAAAACACAATCAATTCAATATCGACATGGACAAATTAGCAACCAATACGAAGTATTATTATTGCAGCTGTTACCATACGTTTAAACGAAATAGAAAATTTTTGCTAATGTAAATAGAACATCTGTTTCACAGACTTCTGAAATGTTTAACAAAAATCATATTTAATCAACTATATCACAAGTTAAATCTTTGTTACTTGATACATTAACTATTAAAACTTTTGGATCTATCCAATCAACAATACATCGATGGATAGAAAAATAAAAATGAATTGTATGATCTAAAATGTGCTCATGATTACAATAATGATAACCGCTTTGAATGAATTTGGATAATAGATTATAATTTGTGAGGAGAGTTACTTTGGTAATAAAAAGAAAAATGTGAAGAAACATTCGAACATATTAAAGAACAATTATCAAAATATTTGTGAAGTATTATTTATAAATGAACCAAAGACTTCACTTGAATTAAAATCAGCAAATAGTTTATTTTATTGTGATTCATGTTCAACACAAGTTTAATCATTAGCAAAGATCTTAGACCGCGTTGATGGTCTGTAATAGCACAAGTAATGTTTCATTTGTGCTTTTTTATTTTTTCAAATAACCGTTTTATGTTAATATTTTCATTTTCCATCAAGCATCAAATTTTAGAAATTTTTTCTTTCAGATTTCATTGACAAAAAAAATATAAACATGGCTTCTGCATTTGTAACACGTAAAGGAATGAGTCGAATTCTTGATGGCATAATGAAATACCGTCAAACATTACGACCATCACTTTTAGAAGAATTTCAAAAAGTAGCAACAGGACCTACTGTAAGACAATTTTTTTTAGTTGAATTTTTTATTAAAAATGAAAACAAAATATTAATATTTAGCCTGAAGGTCTTCTACTAACTTGTGTTGATAGTCGTGTTGTTGCATCTCGGATAACTCAAGCTGTACCAGGCCAATTATTTATAGTTCGAAATCCTGGTACTAAATACTTTTTCTTTTATTCTAATTGTTTTATTTCATAATAGATTTTTTTTTATTTTAAAGGTAATTTAGTTCCTCATCATAGTTGTTTTCGAAATAATGTAACAGTGGGAGGTGAATGTGGAGCTCTTGAACTAGCATGTTCAATAAATAAAGTTCAAGTTATTGTTGTTATTGGTCATTCTGATTGCAAAGCAATGAATTTACTTTATTCAATACGTAATGATTTACAATTGCCATCAAAAGGTCCACTCGAAGATTGGCTTAGAGTTCATGGACGAGGCACTGTTGAACAATTTAAAAAACTTGAAATGTCTACTGGTTTTGATCGAAAACTTAAATTTGCTGGTGCACAACATTATGAAGATGATTTTGAAGCATATATTGATCCACATAATCAATTTAAACCTTCCGATAAATTTTCTCAAGTAGATTTATATTCTTTTCAATTGAAAAGAAAATAAGTTTTTATTTATTTTAGATAAACACATTAGAACAATTGAAAAATTTTCTTTCATATCCATTTTTAAAAGAACGACTCA